CTGGAAAACAAACTTTTTGGAAAAGCCGAGAAATGTGAATTTCACCAGTCTTCAGTGACATTTTTAGGGTTTGTGCTCGAGGGCGGGCAGGTTAAGCCATCCGAAGAAAAGATAAAAGCAGTTTTGGATTGGCCAGTTCCTGAAAACCGTACACAGCTGCAGAGATTCCTGGGCTTCGCCAATTTCTACCGTCGCTTCATAAGGAATTACAGTCAGACAGCTTTACCTCTCACAACTCTAACTTCAGTCAAAATGACTTTCCAGTGGACCCCCGAAGCTCAAAACGCCTTTGACAAACTTAAGACTTTGTTTTCCAGAGCCCCCGTGCTAATCCAGCCTGATCCAACCAAGCAATTTATCCTCGAAGTGGACGCCTCTGACTCTGGAGTTGGTGCAGTATTATCACAAAAACTCGATTCGGATCAAAGAGTACATCCTTGTGCTTTCTTTTCTCGTAGACTTTCTCCTGCTGAACAGAACTACGACGTTGGGGATTGTGAGCTTCTGGCCATCAAATTGGCGTTGGAGGAGTGGAGACACTGGCTTGAAGGAGCTGAACACCCGGTCCTAGTTTGGACCGATCACAAGAACTTAGCCTACATCCAGTCCGCCAAACAAGCAAACCCACGCCAGTCAAGATGGTCACTCTTTTTCTCCCGTTTCAACCTCATCATCTCTTACGGACCCGGATCCAAGAACACCAAGCCCGATTCTCTCTCTCGTCTCTACTCCGTTGATCAATCCGAGACGCCTGCACCCATTCTCCCAGCATCCTGCACAGTTGGAGTGGTTACCTGGGAAATCACCGACCTGATAAACTCTGCCCTGGCTTCTGAACCTGACCCAGGTAACGGTCCTCCAAACAGAACCTATGTTCCTTCTTCAGTCAGATCACGCCTGATCCAATGGATGCATGCAGCCAAGTTTTCCACTCATCCGGGGGTAAGCAGAACCATCCATTTAATTTCAAGACGTTTCTGGTCGCCTACTCTACACAAGGACGTGAAGGAGTATGTTCTGGCCTGCCCTGTCTGCGCCAGAAACAAGACTTCACATCAACCACCCTCAGGTCTGTTGAACCCACTACCTGTACCTGCTCGTCCCTGGTCTCACATAGCCATCGATTTTGTCACTGGACTTCCCATCTCCCAAGGTATGACAACCATTTTCACCATCATCGATCGATTTTCTAAATCTTGCCACTTAATTCCTCTCAGAAAGCTCCCCACAGCCTTCCAAACAGCCCAGCTCCTCGTTAAGCATGTCTTTCGACTCCATGGAATTCCTCAGGATATTCTCTCAGACCGTGGTCCTCAGTTTATTTCCCAGGTTTGGAAGGCTTTCTGCACAGCTCTCAATTGCAAATCTTCTCTAATGTCTGGTTATCATCCACAGTCTAATGGTCAAACCGAAAGAATGAACCAACAGCTCGAGTCCACTCTCCGTTGCCTGACCTCAAACAACCCCACCGATTGGAGCCAATATCTCACCTAGATTGAATACGCCCATAACTCTCTCAAGTCTGCATCCACCGGCCAGTCACCTTTTCAGGTTAGTCTCGGATATCAACCCCCTCTTTTTCCAGCAGACGAGAGAGAGATTTCGGTGCAATCAGTCAATCATCACATCCGTCGCTGTCAGTGAGTCTGGAGAGACACCATCGCTGCTCTCAACCGTTCCTCCGACACCACCAAACGCTTTGCTGATTCTAGGAGACGTCCTGCCCCGGAGTACTCCGTCGGTCAAGAGGTATGGCTCTCAACTCGGGACATTCCCCTCAAGGGGATGTCTCGCAAACTGTCTCCTAGATACATTGGCCCATACAAGATTTCCAAGGTCATCAATCCTTCAGCCATATGTCTGCAACTTCCTGCTAGTCTCCGTATACATCCCACGTTCCACGTCTCTCAAGTAAAACCAGTGATTTCTAGTCCTTTGTGCCCTCCGTCCAACTCCCCTCCACCCGCCCTGGAAGTCGATGGACATCCTGCCTACACCGTCCGCCGGATCGTGGACTCCCGTCGTCGAGGTCGCGGTTGGCAGTACCTCGTCGACTGGGAGGGCTACGGTCCGGAGGACCGCACATGGATTCCTGGCTCCTACATCCTCAATCCGTCACTGATCGAGGAGTATGAGCGCTCCCTCCCGTCGACATCTTCTGGACCGCCAAGAGGCGGTCATTGAGAGGGGGGTACTGTTGGGATCTGGAGCGGTACCATCCGTCTCCAGCAGAGTGTGCCGTGGATCCTCCTGAAGCTGAGCCTCCAACACACCTGAGGCGCATCTCGTCATCAGGAGGACCTGCAGTATATAACCGGCCTTCAGACCTTGCCTCAATGCCGCAGTGTTGATCCAGTTTGGTTAGCACCTAAGCCTAGAACCTCCTGAGAATCTCTAGTGATCTCCCTAGTGATCAGTCTCTCTTCTAACTTTCGTTGCCTATGCTTCACAGGAAACCTGTTCTCTTGGAAGCTCTGGATGAGCTTAACCTGCCGAGCCTGCCCTCAGAGCCAAACCTGAAGACTCTCCTCTGGATTCCTCTGCAGCTCTTGGCTAAGAGCTGGAAACCGAAACCCAAGGTCTGCATTCAAGTTAGAAGTAAGACGCTGAAGCGGTTATTGAACTCTGCTGAACAAATCAGTCTCTAGACCCACCAGTTCCTTCCTCAAAGAGAAACCCGGACTCCTCGAGGTAATCTTCTGAAACTTCCAAACGCTAACTCCTTAGTGCCAACGCTAACTGAACTGTCATCCTCACAGACTCCAGTGAACCTGTCGCCGGCCAGAACCAGTTCCAGTTCACATAATTCATGTGCTTGTGTTTTTTAATAAACATTGTAAAACTTTCCATCTGTTTCCGTGGTGTTCTGCATATTGGGCTTCTCTGAGAACCAATCGTGACACTATTTAGTTATTGTCTTAAAAATCTATAATTATTAAAGACTGAATTTAAAGTTAGAAAAAATATGTAGGTAAAATATTAGGACTCCTTTAATTAGTTGAAAGGGTTATTTGTATGAACTTTTTTGCTTTTTTCTTAGTACACACAAACACACACACACACACACAATCCAGAATACATTGGGGTTCAGACCACTGCAGAAGAGTAGGAAATGCATTTTGTTATGTATATCGGACACTTACAAACTTGAGAAATCCAGTTTAATTGGACTTCCAGGATGTCCTGCATTTCCTATAGATGATTTAAGGAAGGAAGTTTCTTATTGATGTTTTGCTGCTTTAAGGACTTTGTTAATTTGGGAATAAGACATATGCCTTGTTATAGTCATTCAACGCAGTCCAGAATTTGTAAGTATGCTTTAGCTTGGTTGATTACTATGCCAACCTGTAGTTGGTCTATGGCCTTTTACAGCTGCTTTTTGTATCTCTGCTTCTGTCCCCTTGAACCCCAGTCAGCCTCGGCAGATGGCCGCTCACACTGAGCCTGGTTCTACTGGAGGTTTCTTCCTGTTAGAAGGGAGTTTTTCCTCTCCACTGTCACTAAAGCATGCTTAGTGTGAGGGATTGAATTTCAGTCAATGAGTCGATGCAATCTACTGGTTTTCCTTAGATAGAAAACTTTAAATCAATTTGACTGTATGATCTTGAGAACTGTAAAGTGCCTTGAGATGACTTGTGTTGTCAATTGGCGCTATATAAATAAACTGAATAGAATTGAATTAAAGAATTACAATAGTCCAGCCTTGAAGTAACAAATGCATGGACTAGTTTCTCACCATCACCACTCGACAGGATAATTAATATATTTTTGTCAAATATTTGCAATTTTCTGTAGATTACGAAGGAAATAGTAGAAACCTCTTAGGTTTATTCAGTTTATTTATATAGCTTCAAATTCACAACAAATGTCATATAGGTATGGGATTTAAATGACAGGATCAGATTAAAAATAACACCAAGATGTTAACTTTATTATCTCAGATCAATTTAATTCCATCCAAAAGAAGTGACTGGCTAATCTGTTTCTTTTTCAGAGATTCTGAAGATAAACCAAATATAAACACAGTAATAAAATAAAACACAGAAACATAATTTCATCTAGTTAGATTGACTTTTTAATTCAATAATGTGTGGGTTACCACAAAGCTAGAAGCTGAAGCCACAAAAATTACACAAAAACAAGAGAATGCCAGTGGTGTATGAGATCTATAATGGAAAGAAAAAAAATACAGAATAGTAAAAGGTTGATATGTCAAAAAGGATGAAAAAGAAAAATAAATAAATTAAAAACAATTCAATTTGTCATGAACTTATTGTTTTTTAACTGCTTTTTTTTGGCTCTCAAGTTCTTTTCTTGTTATGTTGTTTTTTTTAAAGTTATTTTCCCCTTTGAACTAAATCAGGTCTTCAATGAACAGGCATGTCATTTATTCCCAACTACGTTACCATGGTTACTGGCCTCGCTAGGAATGCATCCATCTTCATGGTACCGGCCGCAGGTATCTGCCATTCCACATTTTGACAGGAGATGCTAACATATTGAGCTTCCACACTTCGACAGGTTTAAGCCCTGTCTTATTTTTAAACTTGAACTGCATGAGTCATGCTTTAGAAAAAGGGTGTGGAGTACAGCTCTGTTTCAAGCTCCACAAGGAGCTGCATTAATGAAAGTTAGTTGGTAGTTAGGCATGTTCTACACCAATTACTGAGTCTTTTAAACTCTGTTGGTGAATTTTCAAACCCTTATTATGACAAGAAAAGTGGGGATTATTTTATCTAACAAAAATGTTGAAAAACTCTTGTTTCAACTGAACCCAATAATGACTTTTCTTATGAGAAGAAACTGATTATTTATATTAAGCTATACAGAATAGGATCAACTTAGACCAGCTTTTCAGTCGTTTTATCAACTAAAGGCTGCTTTTTGGGAGGGTGCGACAGTTTGTTATAACAGAAATTTGTATGAAAATGTTTAAAGGAAGTAACTTAGAATTCTCAGGATTTTCCACTATAAAGGTTATCATTCATAACTTCTAGTTCTTTTTGTTTTGAAGATAAAATACCATCAACAGTAAACAGTTTAAGATTTCATGTAACAGAAAAAGTTTCTTTTCTGGCTGCAGTCTCTGGTCCTAAAGGATGTCCCGTTCTTGTCCAGAACGCCACACCTGTTAACTGGGCATCTACCAGGGTTCTGGGCGCCCAGCATAGATTCTCCACCCACCCAGAACCACTCATCACCTAGGTAACATAGTCCTGTCCAAATCTAGCAAGGTAAAGCAGAGAGATTAACACACAAAATCAACTAGTCATCAACAGAAGTGCATCAGAGAAAAACAGCCCACCTCATCAGTAGTAGCATTTTGGGCTAGCTCTTGCGCATAGCTGAGGTCATGTTCAGTGAGCAGGGTGGCCAGGTCAAATCTGTTTACACTGTCAAGAGCTCTGCAGTGTTCTAATGCCTCCTCCCATGTCTTATTCTCCTTCACCAGAACCAGATTATCATCATAACATATGACACTATATTTCTTGTGGCACTCCCAATCTCTCCATTTCCCCTTATCCTCCGATCCGTACTCTGTTTTATAGCCACAGAATTGAATGCCAATATCTGGATCTAGAGGACATGAGAAAAAAACATTTTATCACAATAAACTTCTGAACCTATGGAAAAATAATGTCATCAGTGATGTATAAATAATTGTTGTAAACATTTACATAGCTAAAATATTTAGATACATCTGTACAAACTTTATTAACAAGACTGTTAAAACAGACCTTTGAATAAAACCATATAATATCCTGCAGATGATAATCCCACATGCAGTGTTGGTCTATGTAGCTGTAATTAAGGTTTGCGGCCTCTAAATGGGAGATTTACAGCTGGAAGACCCTTTATATCTAAACACCTGCAAATATGATTATTTTGAAACTAATTCCAGTCCTCTGAGCCTGTTATACTTTTTTTATCAGTTTTAAAACTGATGCGAGGATACACCTCACTGCAAAGCATACCATTATGTGTACACTCTTTTTACTAATACTTGTTATTATTCATTTATCATAATCGTAAACATTTTAAGTTAACAAGATGGGTTTTATTTACTATATTTTTGATATTTTCCTATTTCATACATGGTTGCAACTGCACAATTAAAGTGTAATAAAATGTATATATGCATATAGGTTTATAATATTAACATATAATATAACAACCACCATCCACCATACTAACAATTGTCTATATTTCATAATAAAGATCTTTAAATAGGTCAAAATAGGAGTATGTGCTATTAAGTGTATTTCCACTGCACTGCAAATATATGCTTTTTGACATTAGGGGTCAGCATTACACTGTTGAATCGAAGAACATGAGCCACAATAAAACACCCAGTTTTAAAAAGGTGCCATTACGGAACTTGTATAGAAATTGACAGAATTTAACAGAATTGTGAGGCTCTAATGTTTCTTTTGCTCTAATATTTTCACAGTTATGATCAAACAACTATTCTGTCATCACAGCACCTTCTGCATGAGAGCCTGGGCAGTTGCTTGCTTCCCCTTTTAATTTAATTATTAAAGAAATCTGCTGTTTTTGAAAAATGTTTTTTAGGTTCCTTCCAAATTAAAGAGTTCTAACTGTACTCAACAATCATCACCCCTGCTGCCTCAAAGGATGCTCTGATGAACGAGGAGAAAGAATAGCTCTTAAAGCTGAGGCATATATATATATATATATATATATATATAGAGAGAGAGAGAGAGAGAGAGAGAGAGAGAGAGAGATATAGATATATATATATAGCACGCTAATAATGCTATGAAAATGTATTTCTAATACATTATTGGATTTGTTGATCTGTTATTCTATTGTTAATACATTTTTTCGTTCCAGAGACAAGGGTTAGGGTTAATTGATGTCAGTAATACTATTCTTTAATTCTATTCTATTTAATTTATTTTTATGCATTTTCATTATATATCTCACTTTGGCATCGTTTTTGATTTAGGCTTAATAATTTAGTGAAAAATATATCCTTTAAATGTTTGAGAGATTTTAGATCATTCTGTTAATGATACTGGTTATAACATAGTTAACATAGTTAAAAATAGAACTAATTAGTTGCAACTATGCATATGATCTATTTCACTTATCTTCAGGTTATAGCGCACAATACACAACAAAACATTTGATCTGATAAAAAAAGCAGTAAAACCTATTAACGTGAATCTTTTAAAAGATGCTAAAGAAAGATTCGTTTCTCAAAGCTGCCTACATCTATTTTTACAAAATTGTCTTGTTTTCTTATGAAGATGTCAAGAAAGTTTACTTAATTTTTAGTTCACTCTTTTAGTATCATATTTTATTTTTTATGATAATTACTGTAGGGTATTTTTTGAACATGCTTGGGCAAACCTTTAGGATACAAATATATAAACTAAATGAAAATGTGCGTAATTTAGGAACAAATACTTAGTGGACAGAATATATACTCAAAAGTTTGATTTTAACAGCTCTACTTTTCAAAATAAATATCATTAAATCCAGATACACCCTACCAAGCTAATTTGTACTTACCACCATCTGCCCAATCGAAGAAAGTTGCAATCCTATCACCTCTCGACCATTTCCAATCATTGTTTTGGTTTTTGTCATATAATCCGATCCAACCATCAAAAGAACTTATTGCAGAATTTTCCTGTTTATTTCTGATAGTTGCCAGGTCAGTGTGGTGCTTCCTGCAGAAAGTCTGGGCTTCTACCCAAGTCATCTCTACTTTATACATTTTAAACCTCTCATTTAAAATGCCAGACTGCTGCCCATATATGGGGGGAAGGATGAGCAGCATCGTGAGAAAGATGACACCTGACATGTTTTCACAAAAAGACTTCAATGTTCCTGCAGCAATATAAAACAAAGCAAATCATTCATTATATTTATAAAAAAGCAGGGACACCTGAGATTGTGAAACTAATTTAAAAATTCCATTGGTAGTTTCAAATTACAAAGAGAAATCAACTTCATAAATACCAAGAAACACAGCAAAGAGGTAAGGAATAAAACTTTTGATACATTTAAAGGAGGGTTATGTGCAATCACACAGCTACCTATTAATACATTTTAACCTTAACTGGCAGAATAAGAAAGCATCTCTCAGAGAGGTGATTGTGTTAGTATGGAGGTGAGACAGTGAGAGCACCTTACTGTCACAAACTCTTCTCACTACAAAGTTTTTAACTTAAATCTACAAATGTCTGGTGGCTAATGCTTGTCCATAGAACATCACAAAAACTATAACAAAATGACTAAAACAAAGTAATATCCCAATGAAAACCTAGAAATCTGCAATGCTTTGGTTGGACCTTAAGGTAAATATATCCCAACACCTTCTCCTCAATAATCAAGTTTACCGAATTGTGACGCTGACAAATGCAGCACAGGAAAGCCCTAATATGGCTTAGAGCTATTGCCACAGTTTCTGAGGAAGAACACCGAAATGATGTGAATTTGTATGTATGAATAATGGAATTAACATTGCAAATTTCTCTATATACTAAACAAGACCGCATTCCTCAAACAAGGTTCTTTCATTTGAAATCAAATATGAGATGGTAGGTAAACTTCAATAGTTATTTTATTTAATCCAAATCTAAATGCATCTTTACTCACCTTGGTAAGCAGTAGAACTCAGTTTTGGGCTCTCTGGTTAAGATCATGCTTTTTATCTGCAAGATCACTGAGTAAAGCACACCACCAACCAATCAGATCACAGTATTTTACATATCTGGAAATGCAGAGTACACCAGACACTCTGTCAGCCAATAAACTGTTGTAACTCCACTAATTCTCTTTATCTGCTGAGTTCTGTTTACCATTTTATTAACGATGATACTAAGAGAAACAAAGTAAGTAATGAATGGGTATTTCTTTATTGCTAATATTCACTATTATAACTTCCAATAAAATCCAATTATAGTCACCTATTATTAACGTAATACAAACAAAATGAACATAACATAAGCCACCAGGGGGCAGCTGACCTGGTTTTCCTTGACTGACTTATTGTCTTCTGAATGCAATAAGTAAAAAGCAAATAAGTATCTCATACTATGATACATTTATTGTTCTTGCTCTCTTGTTGATTACATAAAATCTTTTCATGGATCCTGTCTGCTGAACTTAGGCTTAGACTTGAACATGTGAACAAGGCCATAACCTGAATTTTCGAAAAATAATGATATTTTGGAAATGTAAATAAAGACAGTTAAATCACAAGCCCATCAAGAAGCTGAATAGGAACATGTTTATTATAACAATTCCAAAACTCACAAAACTAGAGTATTTGAGTGAGTGAGTGAGTAAGTGAGTGAGTGAGTGAGTGAGTGAGTGAGTGAGTGAGTGAGTGAGTGTAAGTGAGTGAGTGAGTGAGTGAGTGAGTGAGTGAGTGAGTAAGTCATCTGTTTGATTATGTCATTTTGTCCTGTGTGCATCAATAGCTTTGAAATAGTCAAAGCAGAAATTTTTATTCTTCATAATGCACGATGGGCAAGACATAATCTCAAGAACCATGTTGCTAGTTGTACATGGGCTGTTTGATTATATTATTTTGCTCTGTTTTGAAATAGCCGAAGCAGAAATCTTTAATTTCTCATAATGCACCATGATCAAGAAACGCATGATGATCAAGAAAAATGTAGTACTGTTTCATTGTATTATTTTTACCCGTGTGCATCAATAGTTTTAAGTGAGCTCTGACTGTAAAATGAAATCCTAGTGACAGTTGCTTTAAATGCTTGCTGAGGACGATGAGCATCCTATTCTTATCCATGCTATGAATGCAAGGGTGTAAGTTTGTGATAAAATTTGGTGGGGACACTCAAAGTATAGTGGCTGATGGACCTACAGCTACTCAACCTGAACGTGTCATGATCTGGCCTGTTTGCTCTCCCTTAATTAGTCATTCCTTTCTGTCGTTTTCCCTCCCTGCCTCAATTATAATTCAATCCTCTCACCTGTTTTCTCTTGGCTATATTCAGTTCAGCCTGAGCATTCAGTGCCAGATCATTACTTGTCTTTCTGTTAGCCTGTCTGTTAGTTTTATTTCATGGTTCATGTCATGGATCCTGACAGCCAGTGGAAAGAGTGTTTTTGTGTTTTTCTCGTCTCCTGATCATCCACTGTTCCTCCCCCGCGGAGTCCTCTGGGTTTTTGGCTCTATACGTGGGGAGGTGCAGTTTTTATTCCAGTAGGCCTGGCTCTAGGGAGGAGACCAGTTTAAAGTCCTGCATCAAGTTCTGGTTCCACGTCCTGTCTCAGCTACCCTCTTCCACTGAGCCTGCTCATCTGCACCTGATCCTGTCTGCTCCTGTGCGTGACCACCTGGTCATGCTTTGGGACCTTGTCAGACTGAACCGTCCTGGGAGTTTGTGGATGCCTGGAAGTCTCGATCCTGCCACCTGTTCTGTTCCTGGCTGATCTGGATCCTGTTCCTGTCTGTTCTGGATCCCTGACCAAGATCGGCTTCCAGCATGTCCTCTGGAACTGCAGCACTTGGGGACATTCTTGGACTGGACTGTTAAACCAGGTAAGTGGCCAACTCTGATAATCAT